TGCTGAAGATCACCCGAAGATTAAACAGACAGCTTATGACTGTATTCACGGTTTTCGACGATTTATCGCTATGTCGAGTCCCTGTCGTAAGGAAAAGCCGTGCTTTTATAATGCGTGCGTGCCAATCACGCTCAGTAAAGATGCGCATTGCAAACTATTGCAAATCTATAATGAGCATTAAATCATACGCCAGGATAAACGTTAACATGGACAGCCTTTAATTGAATTGTGCTCTTCGTAGATATTCAAAAGGTACAATGATATATTCAACTTTGCCTTAGTCAGTCCTTCAGTCAATCTATTACAGTTTCGCAAATCACTCAATTGAAATCAATTGTTATATTCTCCTTCACGATCACAGCCATTTTTGGAACACCACGTGAGCGTTGCTCGAATTAGGAAATGGCTGAGGAGATTTACGCCATTGCCGTATTTTACTGTATGCCAAACTTCACAATCGAGCTGTTCTTCGGGGATTTCTGAGTAACTTTTATAATACTAATATGCTTTGGACTAAGATCTTTGGACCAAAAAGTAAATAACGAAAAAAAAAATATGTGCGTTCGAATGATTTGCTTTGTGTTATCTTCGGGTGATCTTCGGCAGTTTGGATGTTTATCGGGGATTTTCTGTTTATTCGGCAATCCTCGGATAATCTTCGGAGTACATGCAAATTAATCGGAAAATCTTCGGAACATCTTCGGCAGCTCGATTGTTTGTCGGGGATGTTCTGGTGACTTCAGTAGCCCTCGGACAATCTTCGGGAAATCTTCAATCACTTTGAATAGACCAATTTCGATATAATAAAATATAGCCTAAAACAATAGACTCCAGTACGAGGCTCTGGGGAATAACTACAGAGTTTGTGGGGTTTATTCCCCAGAGCCTCGCGCTGAGGTCTATTGTGTTAAGCTGAATTTTAATATATCGAAATTGGTCTATTGACAAAAAAACAGACTCTCGGGCTATTCCTGGTTTTCCAGCTTACCACTTTGCCGCTAATTACCTCACCGGAAATTAATTTGTTGTTTTAAGCATATACTTGTCATATCGCGTGTGCGACCCGTATGTCGATCTAAAATTGGATGTATCGAAGATATGTTATTATGACTTTGCCTGTGTGCGCAAATTTGTCCGACACTGTATAAACCAAGATCCACCCCCAAATCTTCGTTTAAAAGCTGAAATTAAAAGCACACCGCTGATCCTACAAACAGCAAAGGAAAGCCGCAAAGTACAAGTTTCTCTCTCTGAAATCGACACCTTGTTAACTTTAAAGATATTTGGCAACCCTAATTATCTCACCGAAAATTAATTTGTTGTTTTAACCGTAAACCTGTCATCAATGAACATTCGTATTTTCTTTATCCTGACAAAACGATTATCGATTGTTTAATCACAACCACTCTTTCGTTGACAGAAAATATAAAACAGCACGTTTCCAAAACTTCATAAAAAAACTGCAAACTGCAAATGAATCGTACCCTGACTTCATTATCACTACTGTAAACCGTTTCAGTGCTCATACAATGCTCATACATTGCTCTCACTGACACAGTGCTCATTCAGTTCAGACAATACTCATTCAATTCAGTTCAAGACTAGCAAAAGTGCAACTGCGCTATCAACCCGTAAATTTTGTGTAGACCCTTCAGCTATCGCGTGTGCGACTTGCTTGTCTATCAGCCTTAATTTGTATGTATGGAGGATWTGTTCTTMTTATGAGTTTGCCAGTGATCGCAAATTTATCCAACACTGTATAAACCAAAATCAACCCCCAAATCTTCCTTTAAAAGCTRAAATTAAAAKCACTCCGCTGATCCTACAAATTAAACAGCAATGGAAAGCCGCAAAGCCTTCACCTATCGCCTGTGCGACTTACTTGCCTATGTAAACTTGTATGCATGGAGGATATGTTCTTATTATGAGTTTGCCCGTGAATGCAAATTTATCCGATACTGTATAAACCAAAATCCACCCTTAAATTTCTTTTAAAAGCTAGAATTAAAAGCACTCCGCTGAACCTAATTGTCTCATTTACTCACTCCCAGAGTGCATTTCGCTTCCACGGAGGGATAAATCGTGCACGACATAAGCGCCACAAACATATGCGAAACTATGAGAAATCACTATTCAAAGGAATACAAGCACGCCAGCTTAAAGCAATGACGTCACACAAAACGTCATCCCTTAAAACTCACTCTATTACAAATTACTGCATTATGATTGGTCGTGAGCAGGCCAATCATCTTTAATTTCTAATCTACAGTAAGAATTTACACAACTCGTGATATTTGAAAATTCTTTCACGACAATTTTCAAATATCACAAGTACTGTAAGTCTTAATTGCACTTGCATTCATACGATTACCTAAACTTACCATAGTAAGGGTAAGGTAAAGTTTACATACGAGCCAAGTGGCCCATCAGGCTGGCGCTCATCTCATGTTTCTATGAAGCATATAGCAACTCAATTCAATTCTATTCAATTTTAATTTAAACTCTCAGAAACATTAATTTTACAAAGGTGTAGAATACATATAAAAAATAGAAATAGAATACATATAAATATATACAAATTACATACAGAAGATGATAAATAGCATTAGGAGTATTTCTACTCCCCCCTGGATAGGGTGCTAGACCATCGAAAGGTTACTCCTCAGCATTAAAATCTCCGATACACATTTACTCACCTGGGTGAAGAGGGGAGGAGAGAGAGGCACTGTGAGAGTAGAGTGTCTCGCTCAATAACACAACACAATGTATGTACGGCCAGCGCTCAAACATCTCGCGCCTCCAACACTTCTCATGATAAGGTAAACTTTAAACAACAAGGATAAATATTGTTTCAAACATCACCAGGAAACGGGTATCACAAGTTACGAAATTCCTGCTGCTTTCTTGGCCAGCTCACTCGGTTCCAGAATACAGCACTTGTAATTAGTTCACTGCAGGCTGGTTCACTGATTTAACCAGGGATTGCAGACAGGATCCATTTGCTTATCAGTTTGATACAACAGAACGGTAGAGTCGAAGTTTAGTTAGTTAATCTAATTTTGAGCCCTGTTATGCTGACTGCTTTTATCATTTCACTTTACAAATAACTTATTCGCCATTTCCATATCCTCCATAATACATCTTCTTTGCCCCCCAAAAATCTGCATAACCTTTGTTTCTCATTTCTCCTGGGTATTACAGTCATCCCAAGAAACTGAAGACAATGCTTATGCAAAATTTTGGGTGGCAAGCAAGGTGTACTGTGGGGGATGTGGAAATGGGGAATTGTTGCTACCAAATTATGTTAATTAGAAAGTAGTCTTACAACTAAATAGACTTTAAAAAGGCGCGAAGTTGCTTATTATAACATCTTACATCCGAGTTTTTAGTTTTTTCCTGTAATTAATTTTCTCTCAAATCTACGCTACGGTTAACGTTATTTTGCGATATAATAAAACGAACAATAAAGCTTTATAGAGTCCCAAAGTGTGACGTCACAAAAGAATAAATTTGAGAAATTATGGGATTTGGCGTCATTTTCGAATAGAGCGTGCTTAAAAAAGGGTCCTTGCCAAAAATTACCTCTTAATTGTAATTCCCAGCCGAAATATAAAGGATGAAAA